AAAAAATTGAGTAGGGTGGACTAGCTTGAAACGACCACGACCTCCCATCAAAGTTTCCAAATAAGGCCAAATACGTCTAATTGACCTGAACCTGAATGACACTCATCGACAAGAACATATGGGTCGCTGCTGGTGACGGTGACCTTTCTCGAGTGAGGGTCAGTGGTCTGTCTATCTCCTATTTCTTTGGTCAACCCAATGCGTCTTAACAGGAGTTGATTGAGCACCAATGCAAGTCTTTCAACTCCAATTCCACAACTCGGCTAATTTCCGTGAATATTACCTCAACCCTCACTCAGCGATATCCCCCAACGTACCAGATTCATTCACGTACACCCCAATGTGCGCTTCTGATCTAGCTCTATATCTCGCATCCTTCGTACTGATGCGATTTCCGCAAGGCATGCCGCCGCGTCTTACGGCCACTTGGATATCTTGACATACCTTATCTCTAGAGGTACGAAGGTCGATGCTAGCTCATTTCCGTTGATCACACCGTCACAGGTGGAAACGTCAACGTGACCGATGAAGACGGTGACACTCCTCTCTTTACGGTAGAAAACGTAGAGACGGCCCGCTTTCTCGTTGAGAACGGAGCAGATTCCACGTGGAGAAATCATGAAGGGTTGACGGTATGACTTGACTTGCCCGCACTATCCGCATCTCCCTCTGAGACTGTGCTAGGCTGCAGCCTCGTTTGAACAGGATTTTCCACAAGTAACGGCCTATTTAAATTCTATTACTGCTAACCCTCTCGCCGATTCTCAACGCATTCAACCTGAAAATCGCGTTTCCCGGCAGCCCCCTTCGCAACACTCACAAGAAGTGGCATCAGAACGCCTTACTTCTTCACTCATGAATGAGCTCAGGGACATCGCCCAAAACGAGATGACAGAGGATGAAAGTCGCAGAGAGGAGGGACTCAGGCAGGCTGTCAGCCGTGCCGTTTTAGAAGGCATGATCACCGGATACACCATGGCGAACGTGGATGACGACACGGAGGCACCGGAGAGGGATTTGCAGGACGGAGACGCAGATTCCACAAAACGCAGGCGGTTAGACTAGCCTGATTGAAAGTTCACGCGTCCACCGTGCAATCATACCGCTGCTGACATGTGTTTAAGGGTAATTGACATGAAACTTAAAGATTGCGGGGTAAGAGCGGATGGCACGACGCCCTGGGGATGAACTCAGGCACGAGACACTTGGTTACCGTCATCTGTGATGAAAACTTCGGGGTTCAGATCTCGTCATAGAACTGGGAAAGAAGCCATCCTTTTCCTTTGCTCTGGACGTGTACGTAAGGCCTCCATGTATCTCTAAGCGCAGCGGGGGTGATGAGAATGGCACCGAGGAGCGTACAGCGTACACAGGATAATATAACTGCTTGTTTTCGGAACAAATCGTGCCTTGCTTCCGCGTGCGACTCGTGAATGCGTGAGCTGGCGCGGTTATTCAATTTGACGTTAACCCACTCACCGAAATCAATCATCAGCCAACTCACCGAAACCTCAATCTCCCATCAGTGATAGATAGCTCTCGAATCACGGAAGGATAGTCGTTCCGTGATTTATCATCAACTAAACCAGATCTGAGACGACGACGCATCGGACTATCGGGCGTTGCACCAATCCAAGTAGACGCAACGAATAAAGCGTGTTTTGGGCCAAGCTATATCTCGATCCTGAACGATCGTGGTTGGGTTATCAGTCCCTTTCCCCGACAGATCATCGTCTTGATCGCGTTTTCTCCATCAGAGACCCTAGATACGCCCGCCCGCCCCCGCCTAGCCATGACTTCATGGGAAAATCCTGTGCCCGTCGCGGCCCTGCTTTCACCGAGCGACCTCGAAAATCGCTCGCTGCTGGACTCTCGAAACACGCATTTCATCGATGACGCGCGGTCTAGGATGTATGACGTGGTCTGCGCTCCGCTCACCACGTCGAAGTGGAGGGAAAGATGGAGAGAGATGTGCGTCATAGTGTCACCAGATCCTGACCGTGACGGCGAGAGGGGCGAAGGCTCCGAAGTTCGCGCGGAAAATTGGAGAGCAAATCCGGCATTCAAGCTGGGAGAGGTGACCATGACGCGCCTCGGTATGTCCTTCTCGCAAGCGCCAGTGCGTCTGCTGATTAGGGGGAGGTCCCATGAAACAGAGGAAGCTGAGGGTGTCATTGTGATGGTTTCAGACTGGTTAGGGTTGGATGCGTCGGACAGCTGGGTCAGACACGACTCTGAGACTGTAAGTATCCATTGTTATCTTCAACCTTGCGGTGGTGGGAGACCCATGACCCGTGCCCACCGTGAATCATTTTTGACTGAGTCACTTGACTAGGCCCTGCAGCAGGAGCTATCCTATGCATCATACTTGGATGTGCAGACCTCAATATTGCCACCCCCTCGCAATCGCAATCAAATCGCGGCTTACGGCCGTGCCATCAATACCTGCCTCGCGCGTACGCCTTACATGCAATTTTCCATCCGGCTTCCCATCTATGACCCATCCATCTTCCAAACCAACTCGCCCACGCGCTCCACTTTTGCGCCGTCGTCCTCTCCGCCCTCATATTCCTCCTTGCCATCGACTCCAATCCGCTCATCGGAATTCAGGGGTGTACCGTCTACCAAAGCATCGGAGGCCGAGCTGAATGCCACATGGGAGATGTGGGACGCCATACGGTCCATCTGTGCTTACAACCCGCGCCTAACCTTAAGTACTTGCTTGGTGTAGTCGGCGTCCAGCATCGTGCCTGACTACCCTTTCGCCATCCGTTATCTAGCCCTGGACCTCATGCCGCCTCTGCCGTCAGTACCGGGCGTCTTGAATCGCTGGGCTGCGGAGCCCATCAAACATTTATTGATCCCAGCGTCGTCGTTTATTGCAAATGCAAAGGGTTATCCTGTATTGCCCAAAGGATCGCAGTCATTCCTTCGCGACGTCATGAAGGTTAGGCTGCATCGAGCACCATAACTGACTCGGAGTGTCTTGCTGAGCTCTTTTCTCACCCCTGCCACGTTTAGCACCGGCCAGTAGTCATACTGTCGGATACTACCGCTGGTTTACACGTAAAAGGGGGCGAGGCCGCGTATCTCCAATATGTGCGCCACCTAGATAAAACCAGTCCTGCGTTGGTGCAGGCCAATACGGCGGGCACAGTGGAGAATTTCGCGCGGGGATATCAGGACTATCTACAGGCGCCTCTACAGGTTGGGCTGATGCATCACATGAACAGAACACTGACCCCAATCGTAGCCCCTTATGGATAACTTGCAAGGCATGACATATCAGACGTTCGAGCAAGATCCCGTGAAGTATCAGAAGTATGAAGAAGTAAGTGGCGAATTGATTCAGCGGATAAATCAAAGTGCCATTACGCGCCGTAGGCGGTATACGCGGCTCTATCTGAGTGGCCTCCATCAGAAAGGATGTGAGTATATATCGACGTGGACTCATCAATTACGTGTAACGTCGACGCTTGTCTAGAGTTATCTGCGTAGCGGGAGCTGGAAGGGGCCCTCTCGTCGCGCGGTGTCTGAGCGCCATTGCGCGCGTCAAGCGCCATGCACTTATCTACGCGATCGAGAAGAATCCAGGCGCCTATGTAACGTGAGTTTTACCGTGGACATTGACTAAAATGGTTGACAGCACCTGTGACCCCCCCCCCCCCTTTTAGCCTGCAGCAACGGAAGGCTTCCGAATGGAAGGAGAAAGTGAATCTCCTGTTCGGAGACATGCGGACCATTGCGCTTCCGGAATCTGCGGACATTATCGTCAGCGAGTTGTTGGGCTCCTTTGGCGACAACGAACTCAGTCCTGAATGCCTGGACGGCGCAATGCGTTGCTTGAAACGTAGGCCCCTGAGATTTTCTTTTGTGTCCATTGCCCTGTTTCATGGCGTCCCCAGCCAATGGTATTTCAATTCCCTCCTCGTACACTGCATATTTGGCGCCGTTCTCCTCCTCCAAACTTTATCATGAGGCGCGCGCGGGAAAGGACGACAAGGCATCAGAAACGCCATATGTCGTGATGTTCCAGGCAGTAAATATTCTCAGCGGTCAGGGTGGTGATGGTGGCCGTTGCGGCCCACAAACACAGGAGTGCTGGGAGTTTGAACACCCAAGACGTGATGTAGTGCTCGACGAACGAGGCAAGGCTTCCGAATACCGTATTTGGTCGGTCGTCCTTACAAGCGCTGACGGTTTCACGTGTCCTCTTAGGGTTACCGGTGACGAATAGCCACAACATCCGGTCTGCGACGCTGACTTTCCGCATTCCTCACGCTGGCGTTCTCCATGGACTAGCAGGATACTTCGAGGCCGTGTTATACGGAGACATCGGACTCAGCATACATCCGGACCGCAAGGAACATATCTCTAAGGACATGCTGAGTTGGTTCCCGCTGTTCTTCCCCCTGAGGGTAAGGCTCGTGTCCCTACCCGTCCCTCCTCTTGTCTACTAAGGCCTAAGGGGTGCCGATGACAGGAACCGTTATACTTGCCAAGCAACTCCGAGCTTCAGGTCTCCATTTGGCGCCTGACAGACCAACGCCAGGTATGGTACGAGTGGTATGCAGAATCGTTTTTGCCGGTGCTACGGCCGCCCGCAGAAACACCCGCAGAGGGGCCCTTACCCAGGGTTGATGGGCATGGGTCCTTTGTGACGGCTACATCGACGCCATTTGTCCCGCCCAGTCCATTGATCGATGCGATCGATAATCCCTTCCTGGTCTCTGGCGATCAATTATCCAAGGAAACAACGAAGCGAGGAGGGGAAGTCTCCAAAATAGAATCTGGCGTTGTGAAGATCGGACAGACAACGCTACATAATCCCGGCGGCAGGAGTAGCTGGATAGGGCTTTAAGTTCTCCAAGTATTGTCGCCTTACAGGGTAAAAACGGTCAAATATTTTGTCCCCCCATTGTAGTACAATGAATGATATACAATGATACCTGAGTTTGTCACGGTCACGGAAACACTGGAGTATCAGAAAAAGAAAGTCATCCTTCGAGCCGGGATCGAACCAGCGGCCTTGGGATAGCATTAAGCTAAGGATACAAATTACAGTCCCACGCTCTTCCAGCTGAGCTATCGAAGGCTTGATGAAGGTGGTCTGTTTGACATATATCACATTGTGGCGAGCCATGTGTGGATTTACTAAAAATAGCCAGTCCACTGGTGGCAGTACTAGTGGCTATCATTCATTCAACCAATATCTAATCGATCCTTTGTTTCTCCGCCCCACTCTCCTCGTCGGACGAGATTTTCCTGGTCGATGCAGAAATGACGTGGCCCTGAGTTGCGTGGGGTTCTTCTGTTGCTGGTGCGTGGGTGGCATAACATTCCCACGGTATACGCAATATTGGTGCCATGCCACGGCATGCATGCAGCGCGCCCGTAGCCCCCCCCACCCCATAGCGGAAATCTCGAATGCGGTCGTACGTCACAATCAAAGCCGCGTTCGTTGCCCTATTGGCCCTCAACGCCCTCTTGTGGTCGCAAGGTTCGTATACTCGAAGACATCGTGGTCCTGCGCTTTCGGGCTTCTACTTTGCTAAGCGAGGCTTACCCGGCCTCCTGGCGAGCGGGCAATACAGCGACTATGTTGAAGGTACAGGCAAGGTATGTAGCCAAACTCACTGACAGTACCCTATTCTCAACCTGCTCCAGTGCCAACCAATAGCCGTCCCTGTCGAAGATCAATGCATGATTGCGCACGATAAATGCCCGACATCAGACACGTTCCTGTCCGTGCCGTACCTGCAAACTTATTTCTGTGCCAGTCCTACGGCCCGGCCGTTTGTATTCGTTGGTTTCCTGCTTTGGCTTGTTTTCCTGTTTTCTACCCTTGGCATTAGCGCCTCGGATTTCTTCTGCCCCAATCTGGCGACAATCGCGCAGCTTCTGAACCTGGACGAGAATGTCGCAGGTGTCACCTTCCTTGCGTTTGGCAATGGCAGCCCTGACGTTTTTGCCACGTTCTCTGCCCTGCGTACAAATTCGGGAAGTTTGGCCGTAGGGGAGCTTATAGGCGCGGCGTCCTTCATCGTCTCCTGCGTCGTGGGCTCCATGTGCATCATCAAACCTTTCCGGGTCAATCGAGGCCCCTTCCTGCGGGACGCCATGTTTTTCACCGTTTCTGTTGCTACTCTACTTTTCATTCTTCGTGATGGGCAGATAACCGCGTGGGAGGCGTCCCTCCTCATCGTGTTGTACTTTGCGTACGTCTTCACTGTGTTCGTAGGCAGCTGGTGGGAGCATAGGTGTGAGAGGCAGCACCTGCTGGAGGCCCGAATACGAAACGAGTACGGTGAAGAGGACGTACAGCCCTACCGAGACTATCCGCCTTACCGAGATGAGCGTGAGCGCTATTGCTGTATCCTTGACTCGGTCTCACGGTCTCACATAAATTCTAGCTGCATACTCACCTTCTACTCCTCCGTTGTTGTCCTCTGATGCTGGCCGACGCCTTTCATCGTTGCCACGCCTCGAATTGACGCAACCTCCGTATCAACACGGTCGAGACTCGTCAGCCGGCTCGGGGTCACCTTCGCCCTCCCCGCGCCCCCACCCCATGACGATGCCATCCTTCTCCCTAGTCGGTGCGCTCGAATTTCGAAGCGTGATCTCGTCATTGCAACAAGAAGCTGCCGGTTCCTCGCTAGGCGCTTTCGAACCCCTCTTGACACCATTCCCAGGCGGACACTACCACAGCTTTAGTCGTTCGCGATCGCGCTCGGGCGGTTCCATGCGTAGCGGAAGCACGCATACATCAGAGACTTCGTCTGATGTTCCCCTGAGCGCTCGTTCTCCATTGCCGTTGTCTCCATTGCCATTGGCTCCTCCTCTTCCCGCTGACGATCTGGACCCTTCTTCACAGGAGGAAGCTCCTCTCATTCTAATTGACAGTACCATGCCGCGGATCCCTGAGATTTCTTACACGCCCGCATCTCCACTTCTCGATACTAACAGGGATGTCGCACATCACACGGTGGCAACACGCCACCAAGGTGTATGTCTCGTTCTTACACGCGCCTTCCACATCCTTTTCCCGACACTACACAAATTCCGCACAAAGAGTTTACTTGCAAAGGTCTCTGCTGTCTTTGCTGCCCCGTCCGTGTTCGCGTTGACTATCACTCTTCCTGTCGTGGTGAGACCGTACAACTGCGTGGGGTACCGCCACGAAAAGGCCCCAAGCATGATCAGTACCCTTTCCACCTTTGAGGAGGATGGAATCGAGCGAACTCTTATTGCTGAAGAGGAGGTCTTGGAGGAGATGCACGAATTGCAGTTCAACAAGTGGCTTATGGCGGTTCAATGCGCTTTCGGCCCGCTGTTCTGCGTCGCTGTACTTTTCAGTATGTTGATATATCTTCGTTTTTTTTATCAAAATGAGAAGTTCTGACACAGTATACAGAGGGTTCCGCGAATGAGGGATGGCTCCTCCTTGGGACAGGGTTGGCAGGCCTCGCAGCCGGAATATCTGTGGCGTTCTTCGCTGGCAAAGGAGATCACCGGGAGTGGCTTCTAGCCCGTTGCGCAATGGGTTTTCTTGTGGCTATTGTTTGGATCATGGCCATTGCAGATGAAGTTGTCAACATTCTACAGGTAAGTAATGCGGGCATGTCAATACGAGGTTTAAGCTAACACTTAGGAGACCTTTGGCTTTATTTTTGGACTGTCGGACGCGATCATTGGCGTGACGATATTTGCCGCGGGGAACTCCATTGCTGACCTGGTGGCTAATATGAGCGTGGCTGTGCGTGTTTCCTCGCCTATTCCATGATATTTTGTCCTCAGGTTAATCCAGGCCTTCGCTCCTATCATGGGTTTCTCGGCATGCTTTGGTGGGCCAATGCTTAATATACTACTGGGCATCGGCATTTCCGGCTCGTATGTCATCCACACCACCTCTGAACCCTACAAGCTACACTTCTCCAATACCTTGCTCGTGAGCACAGTAGGGCTACTCACACTCCTCGTCACGACCATCATATTCGTTCCTTTGAATGACTATTTCCTCCCACGCAAGTGGGGAGTGTTCCTCATCTGCTTCTATGTAGTGATTATGGCAGTCAATGTTGCTGTGGAGGTACTTGGACTGGACTAAAGAGGGGTTGAGGATCAAGGTGTTCGTCATTCGCTGTCCTTATTGCTCTCGATGCCTGGACTAAGTACTGATTAATGTCTGTGAGACGTCATTGAATTGCATTGTATAACCTTGTAGCGCTACAACTGCTCAATACCTATTCCCATTACCTGCTCCTGGTTCGAATTCCAACATATCGGCACCCCATCACCGAACTCCGCTTCACTACCCGCGTTTAAGTTGCACGAGAGAGGCACTCATTTGTGCTCATTCCTTCAACCAGCATCCTACTTTCTTTTCCTTCACGCCCCCATTCTTATACACTTTTAAACGATCCTTTTACTATCACAATTTTAGCCCGCCATGATTCCTTTCGTCATCCTCGCTGCGTTTATTCACCTGGCATCTGCACTTACTGCCAATACACCGTTAGTAGCAGAACTCACTCCACTCAACATACCAGGCTGACTTACTCCCTTCCCTGAAGGATGGGCGCAGTTGTCTGTCGTGAGCAGTTATTTCTACCGTCAACTTCTACGGATTGATTCGTTGTCTAGAGCCCTTGCACCTTGGCTGGACTCCAGACGGCTCACCACCGCCATACTATCTCACCCTTATCCCTGGTTGGACTTTTCTTGTTGCCATCTTTACTCTGCTACTGATGCTCACCAATCTCCAACCAGCGGGTCAGCCAGCAGGGAGTCCTGTAAGTCGAAAACACGTGCTCTTTTCACTCACTTATCGAGGAATCTATGTCACCCTTGATGCAGCTTAAGCAGTTCCCTCCGCAACAAGGGAATAGCTATACTTGGTCCGAGGTAACCCTGGGCGCTGGCACAAGTTTGTATGTATGGGCTGTACGAGACTTTGCACCAGATGTACTTACACCTACATCGAAAGCACGTTTTGCGTGAAGGATGGCAATGGCCAGCAATGGTACTCTGGACCTGCAACTGTTCAAGATGGGGACGACAAAAGGTGGGTGTAGGTAACATTCTTGGCCCTTTGTCATGACCCATCCAAATCCTAGTTGTGTCACAAATGATGTCAAGGAGGGTAAGGAAGCAAGCGCTTCTGGTTCAGCAACGTAGGAGGCAGCCGTTCTGTGTATCTTGGCTTCACTCTAACCTGCTTCGCAGCCCCACGAGTGTTTATTCCGGAGTCGCTGCAGTGAACCATGGCACAGCCTCCGGGACGTCTTCGAGTCCTTCGGCAGCGGCTGCCAGCACCCCTTCCCCCTCGATCACATCGCCTGCCAGTCCCAAGTCGGAAGCTGTGAAGGGGTCGGGTGGTAGTGCGTCACCGAGTCAGTCGGGGTCAGCAAAGGCCAACAACTCGGTTGCCCGGGACATATCATCTGGGGCTGTTGTTGGGATAATGTTTGCAGTGGGCCTGACGAGCATTGTGGTTTCTCTGGTGGTTTAGGCTTGTGAAGGGACACAAACTAAGTAAATGTAAACATTAGCTAGATGTAATGAGGCGATAAGGCGATTGGATCGATCGAATCGAAGAATCTCTTGAAAAGTAAAGTGGGTCCGTCGGTCAGAAGCATGTGATTACGCTCTTGAACCCGCCACCACCGCAAGTCGGAGTGGGTTCACCTTGACCCGCTCTCCGCATGCCTTCCGGACACCTCGCCCGCCAGCTTCGCTTTGTGCTCCCGGGTGCTGCTATCACCTACTGGTTGCACACCCCGTCCGTACTCGCTCGCATCTGGGCTGGTCCTGCCCCCCTTGCCCGGTTCGTGGCCTTCTTCCCCACATTCTGAACCACTTCCGTGACCTCGATTCCCTCAATATAGACTCTTGGTGGGCGTGTCAGCACTGTCCGGCCTGCTGACAGTCGCATTGTTCCTCTATATTTTCTTTATCCCCGTGATCAAGGGCATCCCACCAAACGTGCGTCGTGGTTCTTCTATACACCACATACGTCAGTCAGCCTCGCGGGATGGCAACTGACTTTGAATGGCCCCTCTTTCCTCCTTTGGTTTGCCCTAGTATCGGTCT